ATGTATCTATGTATCTATCTATCTATCTATCTATCTATGTATGTATGTATGTATGTATGTATATGTGTATGTATGTATATATGTAAAGATCTGTAACGATGTATAGATGCATAGACTTTGTATAGGTGTATGTATGTATATGCCGACCATAGCTATTTGGGTTGATGTGTGTAATATTGGATAATTGTGGTTTTCATCAGCGAAATATGGGATTAAAATGCCAATAACAGTGATACTGTATAAACAACAACAATAGGTGCGTCTGAAAGTGGAGTACGCTTCAATAAGATAACCACTTAATAGGAGTAGTGATGATTAGCCAGCGCTATTTTCAGACATACCCATGTCGGTAATATTGGGCATTGCTGGTTAAACGGTTAAACTAACAAAATCCTGGGATTTCACCAACAAAAATGGTGATGCTATTTGATTGATGTTTTACCAGTCATGGAATCTGCAAAACGATGACTTAAACCTCTGTGGTTTACGGGAGTTTGGGAGCCCTCGTGCCCGAGGGACATTTTCGGCATGTCGATCATGTTTTTTCCGGGGAAATTAAACGTTTATATAGATGTGGAAAATCAACCATTTAAAGTTCATGTTCTTCATAAACCATTAGTTTTCCACATCTATGTTAGTTGACCCCAAGGTAAAGGTAAAAATCATAAGAAACCATGGTCTACCCTGAAAAGATCGGGGATTTCCCGTGGCATCGTAGCTTGAGGGGATGAACCCCCATTTGCAAAAGCGGTTCGCTATTCGTTTGCTGTGAAGGGCACCCAAATGAAAGTGACATGACTTGGATTTGGGTTTCGGTCCAGAGTTTTCAATCACCTCTAAGCCGCCAATGTGCACCGAAGTCCCAGAAAGCCATGACATGTCATTTTCTAGCTTCTGTGTCTCTGTGTGTGTTTATGACTTGTTTCCGATCTTATCAAAAACCCTGTGATATTCAAAGAAATTCACTGGAAAACCCACCGTTGATTCAGAGATTCCAAATGCCAGGCCCGGGCGGCGGCCCCGGCCCCAGTGGCCCTAGTGGCCCTAGTGGCCCGAGTGGCCCGAGTGGCCCCGGCGGTGCCAGCGGCCCTGATGGTGGCCCCAGTGGCCCCGGTGGTGGCCTCAGTGGCCCTGATGGCGGCGGCTATCCCAGTGGCCCTGATGGTGGTGGAGGTGCCCCAAGGGAGCTGAAAGTGGTGCCGTACATCGTCCATTGGTGGGGATTTTGCAGGATATCAATGGGTATATCTTATAGAACCTACAATCAAAAGTTGGATTTGATTGACCCAGTCGGGGGATGGGAAGAATCAATCTATTTGTAGGGTTTTTATTTACCCATTATGTTTGGATTCCTAATATGGGCTGGATTTCTATAAACCATATACAATGTTGTTTTGACCCTAGGACATATGGTTTTGTTCGCATGTTTGATACAACTGATTCTTCGCATTTATGGTGTGTGTTTGGGGAGGCACCTCAGATGTGGATTTTTTTTAGCGAGCTCACAAGGACCTCACCAAAGATGATTGTTTACGTATTGCAAATTATCCCCGGACGAACATGTTTGATGTAGGAAGTTTTCATAAATCTCATATGTATCTATAAGTGTGTATATATATACGCACACGTACAGTTTGCCCAGGTTTAAATGGAACACACATAGATGTGCATCTACACCTGATAGCAGAAGGCTAAATTGCTGGTTTCACCATGAAAATCATTGGGGATCATCTTTCAGATGGTTCAGTGTTCTTGTAGCGTCTGCTGTAGAATAAGGTACCCCATATTTGTTGGTTTATCTTGATGTTCCCTAGTAAAATTGCCATTTTCAGACATGGCTATATCATAAATTCGTGGTTTATATTCCCAATGTATCCCATCATATCCTGTATTAGTATCACATTCCCAACATAAGCCAATTTTCACACGCATATCATTTATTCCCATTGATATTCTCATTTGACCCTAGTATCTACACATGATTGACCTTCTGGTTATTCAAGACTCCTATAGAGAATGACCTATTTATAACATGATTCACGCAATAATGTACCTATGAAAAAATTGTTACTTTCGATAGCATGTTGAATCAAAGGATATATTATCATTTTTATTCACATCATATCAATGGGAATTTCAGGATCCTAAAATGGAGGTACTGTACCATATTGTTGGCCATATTTTCTGAAAAATATGTTATATATGATAGGTACCTCCAATTTAGGTTCCTGAAATGGCCATTGATCATATACCCATGCTGAGCGCCCCAATATTCTTCTCCGCAGGATGCATGCAATGCAATCGCAGAAGGCGAGGCTTCCGTGCCTGGGGTTATGCAAGGTGAGGCTCCCGTTTTTGATAGCTAAGTTGAAGAAAACTTACCTTGAAATGCTGGGTCTATGGGGAATATACCCTCTGGTTATTTAACATAGCCATGGAAAATGGCCCATTTGTAGATGGTTTACCGAATTAGAAATGGTGATCTTCCATGGCTATGTTAAATAACCAGATGGTAACTACAGTTGATGGGATTGTTTGAAGATGTGGAAGCCCATCAGTTTCCGGAAAAGGATTGAGAAAAATGATGTGCCAGTGCAATTCGTTTTGTAAGTCCATGTGCAAGTTTACTGAAGGGCAACTGTCAATGGAAAGTCTCCCATTTTTTGGAATGTCCCAGAATTTCCCCAATTTTATTCGCAATTAAAGATTGGGGGTCCCCATGAGATGTTTTTTATGAATAATCCTACTGCCCAAATCATGTGTTTTCCCAGACTCCAGAATGATTAGATCCACCACGATTTCTCAGGTTTTTTTGGGTGGTTGATTAAATAGGGGAAAGGAATTCATGACCTCTGGAAAACTACCTGTTGTTTAGGTGGCGTATTCTCTTACATAGGCCTGAAAAAATTGTAGGGCTTAGATAGATCAGTAGCTCCAAATTTGGGTGCCTGACCTGGTGACCAACAACCCCTGAGGAATGTGGTACACCCCAGAAGTCCGATTCACGGAAAGTTGTGAGTTGTGAAACCCATGGATTTGGTGATACTCGATTTTCAGACAAGCCAAAAAAAACTTTTTTTTAAGTAGGGAAAGTCGTTTTTGAAACCATTGGATTTGGGTGACGCGGAAAGATTTCAGGGGACAAAAAAACGGGAAAAATCTACTCAATATCACTGTAACATATCCGGATCTTTTCATGGTGATATACCCTCCTGTAACATATCACGACATGGAAAATGATCATTTTCTAGAGCTAAATCATCTGTTTTCATGGGCCATGTTCAATAGTTATGTTATTTTACCCCAGGGTATCTCCCCATTTATATATAACTATAAATGGACTATAACTATTTATAACTATGGTTACTAACCAGTTGCTATCCATAGACGTTGTGTATCCAAAATGTCCATATCTACCAAAGCGGCTCTCCTGGTGCCACGACGCAGGCTGGAAGTCTTCTCAGGGGAGAGCGCCAAAGGATTACTGCGACGACGGCTGCAAGGTGGGAGATATGAAAGCGATGATATGTTTTCTACATATAGAAATAGAATATTGATATAGCCTCGTCCCAGGTCCTAGAACTGCGCAAACCCGAATTAGGTTGGTAAAACTTGTCAATTCCGTGACGAAATTTCGTCGCGGAATTGACAAGTTTCATTAGGGTCATCATCATCATCATCCTCCTCCTCCTCATCATCATCATCATCATCGGCATTAGTATCATCATCACCTGCAAGTTCACATGAACGTTAACATCCCACCCCATCCCCCCACCCCATCGTATGTAGTTCCAGGACCTGGGACGAGCCTATATATACACATGCATGCATGCATGCATGCATACATACATACATTCATACATACGTACGTACATACATACATACATACATACAAGTATATATATATTACATCTAGTGTATATTACATTTAGTGTATATACATCCTATATCTTTTACATATTACATCATATCTATGTATTATATGTGTCCAAGATATAGGATGTATAGATTCTGACTGTCCACGGCCAGATGCCGCTCCACCGGGAGACGCTCCTTCCGTGGGCGAGCCCCGTCGCCTACAAGGAGAGCTCGTTGCGGAGATGGTCGAGATGGTTGTCATTGGAAAATCCAAACATTCATGCCATTAATAACCATTAACAACCATTAGTAGTCATCCACTATCAATAGCTATCCATTAAGTATCCATGGGATTGCTTTCCATAAATCAATAGCTACAGGATGGGGCCCCATAGTTAGCTAAGTTGGCTTACAACAATAACAATAGTGTATGATACTTATCGTATTTAGGTTGGGTTATAAACCAACTTATAACTAGGGGGCCCCATCCTGTGGGGTAAAACATATATATATAATGGATAAATGGCATTAAACCAACAATAGTGGGAATATAATGGAAATACAACGGGATAATCACCAACAATAATGATTTTTACAAACAATAATGGGAACATAATGAGATAAATAGTAGTAGACCTAATTTTCAGACCTACTATTTGGGGATGGTTGAAATCCCATCCATTAAAAATGATGATTTGATGCCAACATTTTAAACTGGTTTACCACATTATGGTCTAAAGATCTTGGGAAAGGACTCGAAAAAATCTATCCGAGTCTTTGCTGAAGATTCGCCGTGTCTAAATGGCAAACTTTGCCAGGTTCATCACAGAAAAACATGGGGATATGGTCGAAAAACAATGACAAGTGAAGCAGCACCACCCCACAGATTGGCATGTCAGTTTCATCTGTTGCCATCCACCTTGCTACCTCGTTTGTATGCCAACCATTAAATTCTTGGAGATAGCACTAGGTTAAGGTTTCAACATATCCTTCAGCATGCCCATGAAAGCAAATATATACATACATACATACATACATACATACATACATACATACATACATACATACATAATATATATATATACATGAAAACTTAGGTATAGTTAAAAGAGCATCAAGAATCCATCCACTCAACCCGCTGCAGGAAACTGCTGTCCCGCGCCTCCGGGTGAGCAGTTTGGGGCCTTGGATCACTTCCGGAAGCAATATCTTTGTGATTTTGGATAGTTATGAGTATCTCAGATCTCCCAGAAAGATATAGAAAAAGGACTGACATCCCAAGTGACCCAATATTTGAAGTGATATATTATCACAATGATCTAACCAGGATATTTCTCCCATTTTTTCTTTTTTTTGCCGCCTCCAAGGCCGTCGGACTCGCAACTTCAGGTCACTTTCCTGGAAAAATGAGTCGTTCTGAGGAATTTTCTAGGTTTGTAGACAGTGATTTAGAGAAATGGCTAGAAATTAGATCAAGTTACCTGTAATTTAAGCGATGAATCTAGAAACCTGGAAATCCTCCAAAAAAACTCTTGCTACATGACATATGTTCCTATGATGTATTTAGACTGAGAAATGGGTGCTTTATCCAAAATGATGGTTTAAAGGAGCTTAGCTAGAGAATATGGATTGGTCCTGAATTCAAGCACAAAACCGGCGGAAATCAACATAGACAGATCGTTTTGTTCTTTGTTTTCCGTTGAGGTTTGTTCAGACATGAGGTGTACCCTAAAATTGCCAGTTTAAGGAAGGAAACCGAGAGATTCTAAGCTGTTTGGATTTTGGTGGTAGCTTTGGACCCAAAATCCTTCCATGGCCATGTAGCGAGCAGCAGATGACTATTTCAGGCTCAACCATGGTAGCCAGTCAGGTGACCCCCGATTTTTGGAGGCTTCATGGACCCTTAGAAAGGTGGCTGTTGGTTAAGATTTGCCCAAAAAAAACCTAGTGGCCAGGTTTTGGCTCCATTTGGAGGTACAAAAATTTCTGGCCGTTTTGTCCCCTTGCGAACTTGCGATGAAGTTACAAGATGATCCAAGATAGTTAGCGTTTAGGAACTAGTCGTTGTTTTAGAACTGCATGAAAACTAATGGTTTATGGTGGATATATCGTGATATATCTATAGTTTTTCTGGGTTTATAAACCAACAAACATAACTGGGGGTACCCCTGTGTTGATCAAAGCTTCAGACTGTTCTGCGGGTCCAGACGTAGCAAAGGCGAGCCCAGTTTTTCTTGAGAAGATGCTTGGAATAGCGAAAAGATATAGAGATGTATGCTATATATATAATATTGTACAATTACATATGTATTCTGGTTGGTGGTTTCAAACATGTTCTATTTTCCATCATATATGGGATAATTCTTCCCATTGACTTTCATAGTTTTCAAGATGGTTAAAACCACCGACCAATATGATTATTGTATCATTACATATGTATTCCTCTCCGGTAATTTAACAAAGCTATTGAAAATGGCCATTTATAGCTGAATTAGCCATTAAAAATGTTGATTTTCTATAGCTATGTAACAGTTTACCAGAGGTTAGACCTCCATTAATCACCATTAAATCCCATTAAATCCCATTAAACCACCATCTTCCTATGGTTTTCCTATGGTTTATTTATTATACTGTGATATATTGACATGCTCAACGTGAAAAATCGATCGCCAGGCCATGAGGGACCAAATCAGCGATGACGACAGGCCGTTGCAGACCGGCAGTAAGGCTCGGTGACCCAGGCGAAGCACCAGGACTTCCAGTGGAAACCGAGAAAAAGCCCATGGTTTCCTGTACCCTTTGGCTATGTCAACAGTTTGCTATTGAAAATGGCCATTGATAGTGGATTTATCCATTGAAAATGGTGATTTTCCATAGTTTTTTGTATGTTTGCCAGAGGGTAATTTTTCCCTTAAACCAACCCAGCGCTGTTTCAAGGTTGTGATGGCTCAGTGGCCTCATCTAGCCATGTTTGGGGTGAATGATCCTCGAGGTTTGGAAGGGAAAATGATCGGGAGAAAGGCTCCAAGAAAACGGGAAGAAACCCGGTTTACTGTGGATTTTACCTTAGGCCAATTTACATCAAGTTCATCATCATCAATGGTGAACTTAAGAATCAAACAAACATGTCCTAAAATCTACATAATGAGTTCTCGTAGGTATTGCGAGAAAGCTGGACAAATGATGGCACGACACAATCTACGTGACGTGCCATCAATGGTGATTATGGGAAATCTCGGGGCCCAATGTAATTTTTCCTTACGTCCCCAGTTTGAAAGATATTCTCTGGCTGATTAAGCTGCAAGTGCCAACAGTTCGAAGAGTTTTGGGACGTGGTGATTTTGCCGCTTTTGAAATAAATTGTCAGATGCTAATTTCCCCATTGACTCATGTTGTTTTCTGAGAGTTGTGCGGGTTCTTCCACGTGTTGAAGCATCAACCAGCTGTTTCTTGGGTGTTTTTCCAGCATCTCCCCATTTGGAGGTTTCCTGAAATAGGGGTACCCCTAAATCATCCATTTATAAATCGGATTGTCCATTATAAACCATCCAGCTATTGGGGATCCCCCATGACTATGGACCCCCCCTTTTTCGGCAAGTCTAAGCCGTATTTGTATCTCCAATAGCTCATCCCATCCACATGGTCAGATGCCCCACGTTGGTTCTGGGGATGGCCATGGAAGATCAGCTTTCATCGGGAAACGGATGACGGTCCCCACTGGTTGGTGGTTTGGACCATGAATGGATTATGACTTTCCATTCACTTGGGATTAATGGATTATAGTGGGTTGCTGGATTTTAATGGATTTTCCATATATTGGGAATAGTAACCCCAACTGACAAACTCATATTTTTCAGAGGGGTAGGTTGAAACCACCAACCAGTTCAGAACTCTGATGAGGAAATATCCCGAATTCTGATGACTGTGCCATATCTCCACTGCCCTGAACGGTTCCTTTCAAGCTCTGTGGGAAATCACCATCTTGCAGTTCGGTAGATCATCATGTTTATCATTTCCTTGAAAAAGGGCGATCTATACCGTAGCAGACTCTGAAAAATCACCGGTATGTTCATTGGTAACCTCCATTTATTCTTGGCATAAGCCATTTAGAAATCGACCTTTCGACCTCCAGCTGCTGGGGGAATTCTTTGCCATCGACTGGGCTCGGACCCTGAGGTGAACGCCTGCTCCTTCACGGAATTCTTCGACAGCACCCTGGGGGAATGCGTCAGCGGTCGCTGCCGTACACCCTATACCAGGTGGCGAGGGGATGAATCTTTTAAGAATTATGGCTGGGGACCATTCAAAGAGTGATGATACATGATAATACAATACGTAATTACTTGGTATCCTCCAATTAAACAGCCTTTCGGTTTATTGATCGAGGGACATTATCATGTGGATTACAATGGGGATTACGATAAAGGGATATTTCATGGGAATATGTGTATACAATCATCTTCATAAAATACCGTCCCCCCAATCTTAGCCCCCAAACAATAAGATGGTTATTTCTGGTGGTGTTCTTTTGAAGGTTACAAACCCCCGATGATTGTGTCTCCACCGATCCCGTCAAATGTTTAACGGAACATGGACCACAAAACCCATGCGATCGATGGTAGTTTCGGCCCCAATCTGACAGAGTTTTTCAGGAAAAAAAATGTTGTTTACTCAACCTTCTCTATAGCATAGACCGAGCTCGTTTCCTATGGCTGTGTCATACCCAAGGTCTACTAGTAGCAGTTTATCATCATGCTCCCTGTTAAAAATTGTTATGTTTGGCTATTCCATTTCTGGGCAAACCCAGACATCATATTGGTCATATGAGATATATATTATATATATATATATGGGTAAATTATAACGACCTCACTGCGACCTCACTGGAATCATGGTTAGCAAGGGAAATCATCCCCAAATGGACTTTATTCAGGTTAGTGAAATATTACAATTTACCCAGATATATAGTTAATATCCCACTCCAATTAGATCCCAGTATAGACCATTGCATCTCCGGAAATCAAAATTTACCCCCCAGTTGTGGCATGGCAATTTGGGTCGCCAACCAAGACCATCGAATCACGTGGCTATGGCTATAAAAGACTTACCAAAGAAAGTTGGGGCTGTTTTTAACCAACCATTGTGGATATGGATTTTTCATTTTACCTGGCAAGAATTAACCACTATAAACTAGTGTTACCCTCTGGTAAATTAACATAGACCCTGAAAATGACTTATTTATAGTGGAAACTAGTCTTCCAAACCCGACAACTGGCAGGGTCGAACTGTTGATTTACTGGAGGGTAACCTATTGGCAAGAATGTGATATTTTATGGTGGATAATGGCCCATAATGTTTTACATAATGGTGGATAATGAAGAACATTCTAGTGAACCCCCCCAATAATAGATGGTTTTTCTACGCCCTGTGATTAGTGGTTGTTGGTGATTAGGATTCGCCACGCCAAACATGGTCGGGGTGGTGTGCCCTTGTGTGTCCACATGATTTATACCGTTATACCACCAGTTGTGTTGCCTAAATCACCATTTATACCAGGTAAACATAGAAAAAAGATGTAGAAAACCCATGGTTTCCAGACGGCGACCTTTGCATCCTCGATTTGCAATACATAATTCGACCTTACCTTTGACCTTGTCCCCATTCTCTTCATATTTTATCTGCACACACTGAGACTGGCGTATTTTCGGCATGATCCCAAATGAGGGTATACCATGATCCAATTTCATAAACCTCCATTGGGGATGGTTTGTTATTGGGCTTACCACAGTATAAGAATTCAAAAACCATGTGGTGACGTGGTTGGTGTTTACCGCCAGTTATAAGATGGCTTGTAGGCCCATGAACTAGTTCAATATATCTACCATAAGTCCAACAGTTACTAGAGTTATGTTCACCAACTTGGCTGTCAAAGGGGGGCGCCACCTTGTATGTTAATCCATATTATCCCATGAATATCCTACTATATCCCATTGTCATTGGGTTTATTAACCACCATCAACTACTGGTAACTACTAGTATTTCCGTTTATAGCAGTTCACGATCTTATTTATAGTAGTTAAAGATCTTATTTTCATGATCTACCATGGGAATAACTATAGACGATTATCAACTAGTATTAACCATTACTAGCTACTATTAACCACTATAAACTACTATAATTTCATCGTGGCTACAATAGTGGTTCCATAGTACTTAATAGTAGTTTATAGTTACTATTAACCACTATAAACTAGTATTAACCACTATAAACTACTATTAACCACGATTGTAACCACCACGATTCACCATTGGTCCCGATCTTCCAGGCCAGATAGCGATCGCTTCTGTGAACCCATCCCTGACGCCGAGCTCACCTCTCTGGACACGACCGCTGCGGTTCCCCGTCAGACCCGTGCCGTGGTCAAGCTACAGGGTTTATTGTCCCATGAAGCATAGGGGATACATAGGAGGAAACAAATGTGATAGAATATGCTGATATTCATGGAATATGGGTGTTGATGTAGGTTAATTGTTGGAGATATTATGTGAAATATTGCAGTAGTTGAGAAATGGGCAAAATCACAGGCTTTCAACTGTTGTTTCAACCATCCAAGGTGCAGGATTTCGCAACCATCCACAGTGCAGTAGGGATACATAGGGGGTTAATGTGAGATTGATGGGATATAGTGGGACTTGGTATGTCAATTGGATATCAACATGGGGATTTAACTGATGGGATATTAACGGGATGTAATGGGATTATATATATATATATGTATATGTATATATATATATCAAAAGTGAGCCATGAACAAAATACCATTGTTGGTCATTACAGACTCTTTTGGAGATTATCATCACCGATATCACCGATCATAGGGAGGTCTACGGAGGTTTCTTAAAATGGGGGATGCCCAGGTCATCACCATGGTTGTTTCAATACTAAGTCATGGTCTGACTTGCATGATTTGGGAGTACCCCACTTAGAAAACCTCCAGATTGATTCTCGCCAGTATGGCCCTGTTCTCAACCCGCTTTGTTAGAAGGCATGAAATAAAGTCTTGACTGCTCATTTCACGCATTCCTCGCTACAATGCATTCCAAGATTCCATTAAGTGTCTGAATTATTCAGTCAAGCTAGCTCCATTCTCATCGGTAATGAATTTGAGTGAAGGATTTCAAAATCCGTCTTTCTCCTGGATCTCATGTTTGTCACACTAGAAGTCCAACGGGCGTTTCATTCCCAGTTTTTCCAGATATTCCCTGCAGTGATATTTCAGGGGTCAAGCCACGCCAGCATTCGGATACATTTGTTGGGAAATCAGCCTCCAGCATCCATAATTCCCAACTATCGGAGCCATCCGGGTCCGAAGATTTTGACTCATAGCCATGTGATTTTGCGGTTTTTGTGTTTTTGTTCGTATGCATTAAACGATCATGTTTGCACTAAAAGAGTGGCCAGTGGTCTGTGAGTCCAAACAAGCACCCAAGCTTCAGCCATAGCCATTTTGATGAGTGTCATCATGATTGTTGTTATTCAACCACTGATTGAATAGAGGTGGACTGATGGATGCATGGATGGATCGGTAGATATGTAGATAGATACATGGATAGATAGAGCCACAGCCATGTGGTTGTTACTATTATCATGCTCATCAGTCTTATCTTTTTGTCAACAATACATGGCCATGATATAGATAGATAGATAGATAGATAGACAGACAGATAGATAGATAGATAGATCGATCGATCGATAGATCGATAGATCGATGGATAGATCGATCGATAGACGGATAGATCGATAGATGGATAGGTAAATAGGTGGATAGGTGGATAGATGGATAGATGGATAGATGGATAGATGGATAGGTGGATAGGTGGATAGATGGATAGATGGATAGATGGATAGATGGATAGATGGATAGATGGATAGATGGATAGATGGATAGATGGATAGATGGATAGATGGATAGATGGATAGATAGATAGATAGATAGGTAGATAGGTAGACAGATAGGTAGACAGAAAGAATAGAATAGAATAGAGTAGAATAAAATAGATTAGATTAGATTAGATAGATAGATGTATGTATAGATGTATAGATGTATATATATATGTGTCCCTAAATATATATATATATTATGTCTGTAATTATATAGATATATATTTATATGTCTGTAATTATATAGATGTATATAATACATGTACGCAGATACAAAATATCATTGGCACCATTGTCATCATTATTTCTACCCGATGACATACATTGGCAGTCAATGGCTGCAGGAACCCTGAAGACGCCCACCTAAGGGCTGCAGATGGTGCAATACATCCATTTTAGGGTCCTGAAATTCCCATTGATACGATAACAATAATGATGATAATAGGAATCATACTAGTACTATATACTATCAATATTATAATTTATTATAATAATATTATTCAACCAGATTCATCATTGCAGGTGTCTATCGATATTGCACACACCACCTAGGTCACCGACAGCTTGCGCCTCTCCGGTCTACCTGGAAACTTCAAGATGGTGCGCCCGTGAAAAATGATGGCTGTGTCTGAAAATTGGGTATATCCCAAAAAATATAACTGGTTGGTGGTTTGGAACATGATTTTTATGACTTTCGATATATTGGGAATGTCATCGTCCCAACTGACGAACTCATATTTTTCAGAGGGGTTGGTCAACCACCAACCAGTAGGGAATATGATGTCAAACCAGTGAATTTAGGGGTGCCCTATTTCACAAAGCTGGATGACCCCAAAGATGGAAGTTTGGACACACCAAATCTTTTTCAAATGGGGAAATCTCATGATGAACCCATCAATAGCCGGATTTTGGGTCGGTAATATTGATTGCTACTTGAAAAATATGGGATTATACTGCTTCAGAATGGTTGTTTGGAAAATATGGAGGAATGAAGACCTCAAATATGGGGACTCAGCTCACATAGCTGGTTCAACCAGCAGGATGAGTGGGTCGTAATAGTGGTTTCATTCGAAAAATATGGGATTGACAACAATGGTGACACTGGATACAGCTAGCAATAATGGGTATGTCTGAAAATGTCTCTATACCCATTAAAAAGACCGTGAAACAATAAAGGAAAAGATGATAAACCACAGGATTTGGGTGATATCCTATGGACAAATTGGGTTTTGAGAACAGATCAAGTTTGGGTTCGATGGATTGCAAAGTGCTGCCCTTACCAGCAGTTTTGCTGGTCTTTCGCCACAGTAACTAGTCTGCCAGTCACCCAACAGTTCCATCCCGCACCACCTGGGTGACCCCACAGGAGGATGTGCTGAATGGCAATATGCGGGCCGACTTCGATCAGGAGTTTGCCAGGCGAGTCATGGACGCCGGACGCAAGCGCAATGGTAAGTATCCCCTGTTTATGACTAACATAGCCATGGAAGCCATGGCCCATAGAAATAGACGATTTTCCCATTAAAACCTGCATTTATAAGGGAGTTTCCATGGCTAGGTTAAATAACTAGAGGGTATATAATGAGGAGATATCAATGGGAGATGATGGGTTTTTTTCTTACTTAGTATGCCGCAGAACTTGGAACATGAATGGCAATCAGATGATAATGGGATGACAATGACATAAATGACATATTTGGAGATATTTTGTGGCTGTGTACTAATCATATCTAATCATATGGGTTTCTGGCCCAACGCTTGAGCCATGGTTAAGTTTAAATTGGACGATACTCACAAGTTTGGACTAGATGATCGCCCGCATATTAGGTGATGGGAATAGTCAATCCATTCATAAGGATTCATAAGAACCTATGTATATATCCTGGTTGGTGGAACCATGGAATTTTTTATGACTTTCCCATCATTAATTGGAAATAAATCATCCCAACTGGCTGTCACTCCATCATGTGTCAGAGGGGTAGGTATACCACCAAGCAGTATCCATTGTGTCACTGGATTCCCAGCGTGGGATGTGGGATGACCATAGCCCATGGCCATGGACCATGGCACTCTGGGAAAAATACCACATGGGTATATGAATCCCGAATATGAATATATATATATATATATATAAAAGACCATGGAAATAGAACAGGGTGATATTTTATTGTGTTTTTTTCATACATAAATGGTCCAAGGGTGGAACAGGATGGAACAGATGGTCATCCTACTGAAACATCGAAACAAAAAACTGGCAACAGCTCCACCAAATTCCGATGGTCGGTGTCTAACTCAACTATATATATATATACATGCACATAGTCCATATGATAATCCATATATATATATATACATAGCTGGGGATATTCCAGATGTACTGTATGATCCATTTTAAATTGTGGTTAAAACAATGCCATAAGTAATATTCCATGTATGGAAATAGTCCATATAATGTGAAATAATATAACAGTAATCACCATTGTAATCCCTTACAATGTGATATAATATAACAGTAATCACCATTATATTATAATCCAATTATATCATCCATGATATCCACTATTATATATATATATATAAATATATATATATCCATTACTGTTGTATTATATCACATTATAATATATCACGTTATATATATATATTACTGGTTGGTGGTTTGGAACATGTTTCCCCAACCAGATTGGGGATGATGATCCAATCTGACGAACTCATATTTTTCAGGGGGGTAGGTCAACCACCAATTAGTTATGATTACAACCTACATAGCCAACTTACATCAACTTACTACTGACATGTGGTTAAAACCATGTCATCAACCATGTCATCAACCATATATATATATATATTAATAATCCATCCCCAAGTCATCACCATGTTTTTCGGATCCAAAAAAATCCAGGGAATTGGCGGCTCTGCTGGACATCCCTGCGGAGATGATTGTGGTGTTTCTTGCCATGCCTATTTTTCGGGGCGTTCGGGGGAAACTCATGGGAAAATATATGGGAAACATATGGAAAATATATGGAAAATATATGGAAAAATATGGGAAATCCTCCGTTTTTAGGGGTGGGTTTCTATCTGGTTTCTATCATCGAACTATGGCCGGGATAGTCCCGCCATGTTTGATTGAGGGTGTAGAGTGGTTGAAAAAACCTCATGTTCCCCAGTAAGATATGACCATTGTGGGTAATACATCCACCCGGTACTCAAAAATCAATTGAAATCTACCACATGACATATACCCTCTGGTAAACATACAAAAAACGATGGAAAATCACCATGTTCAATGGTAAATCCACTATAAAATTGGCATTTTCAATAGCTATTTTGACATAACCAGAGGGTTTTTTATGTCAGAAAATCTACCGCGGTCCCCAACCTTGCCCATCAAATTCCAGGCAGAGCGTTGCTGAAGGCTCTGTGGTGGTGAATTTCAGGACCAAACGATGGAAAAACTGCGGTGGTTTGAAACGCGGTGGTTTCACTATGGGCTGTGTTGAAAGGCCGGGTGTATTGTGGTGTATTCTCTGTCGAAGCTGTCCTTGAAAGATTTGATTTAATGAAATCATGTTCCAGGAAACCATGCTGTGGAAGTGTCTCTTTTGTGGATCAAATCTGCCGATTCTGGCGTTACCACTGGCCATTCTTCCAGATCCATGATGCACTTGTCACTGCAGGATTGTCTCGCCTACAGCAGAAACAGACCAGCAGGTCTGAGAGATGCTGCGATGATGGCGGCTATGAAGTGGTCCATGGGAAATATCCATAAGTTCCCGCTAGTTTGGTGTGAAGACCAAGGCTTCACCTGGCTTTTGACTAATCAAGTGATGACTTACAACTTCTTGGAGTATATGCTGATCCTTCCATTGGCGTTTGGAAATATGAAGAAACATAGGACGACTGATCGCAATTGACTTGGCTCTCTTCAGTGATGAGATTAAACCAGTTGTAATCTTGGTGTCCCCGGAAATTGCTTTCGTCCACAGGACGAATCCCTGGTCCCCGCGATTGTGCAGATGAGTTTGTCATCGGTTCGTCAGAACATGTGCCTCGGTAGCTGCTCTGCTCTGGAATGGGATGACCAGGTTTTTTTTCGCTGAGAAATGATGTATACACAAGCGTAGATGCGTATTGTGTGTGTGACATACAGAAATATGATACATATATATATATGTATGTATACCCCATATTATTTGCTGTCAATGTGATTGTCAGGTGAATTAGAGGCAACAGATGACCAGGTACGTCTCACTGCCCAACCATCGAGATAGATTTCATCGTGACCTCACATCTCGACATCACTGGAATCATGGTGAATGTAGCTGTACAGCACCCGACAGAATTATGGAAAAAAAAAAACGTTTCAATTTACAGGCGCCGCCTGTCTATGATAGAAAAGTTACGAACCTTTTTTTCCCATAATTATTGTTTCCATAATTTGTTTTTTTCCATAATTCTGTCGGAGACTGTATGTCCATCGATTCGCAATTTGAATGCATTTTAAGGGGGAATATTGAATTATAGAAAATATGTGTCTAAAGATCTGGTATATGCCCCTAATTGGGTTGATACTACATACTTGCATTTGCATACATATTTCCATAACCCCCCAAAAAAACGGGTTTGAATTGTGGATCCATGACATGTCCAACAGGTGGAGCCCCAAACATTAATTATGGAAAAAATAATTATGGAAAAAATAATTATAAGGAAAAACCGGTCAATCTGCCCTAGCCCCCTGATTTCACAGGAAAAATCAATTATGGAAATAATGGCCACCTCCAAGAATTATGGAAAAAAAGAAGGTTCGGATCACTTCCGGGATATTTTGAACCCTTATGGGGAAAAATCCAATTATGGAAAAATCGGACGCAGGCGCCGCCTGTCTAAGTTGAACGTTTTTTTTTCCATAATTCTGTCGGTTACCATAACCATCCCAGGTTGGTGATTTATCTCACTTTATCCATGATGGATAGATAGATGGATGGATGGATGGATAGATAGATAGATAGGATATACGTAGGATATACCTAGGATATACATAGGTCATGTATTGCATAGCATATGGCCATACATGGATATGTATATACATACGATATGATTCATCCGAGACAGCCTTATTTCGGGACTGAATGACGATAACTTATCCAGATCAATGATGTTGGTGATGTCTCCCCTCTTCCTCAGTGCCGTCACTATTTGCGGAAAGGCTACTCCCCCAATGAAACACTCTGAAATTGGATGTCAATGATTGTTATTTTTAGGAATTGTTGAACCAGCAACCAGCTGCCAGATGATCTGTGCGGCTACCCAAACACCTGAAGAAAAAGTCGGTCATATCCCATCTCCAAATGATATCCCCATTGTGCTTGGTATATGTGGAAACGCCATATCCCCATATGATGTTTATATTCTGCCAACGCATTATCATAGTGTCCCCACGAAAAAACAACATATTATCATGTGATAGATACTCCATAAGTATGATATCCCCATATGTTTCGCAGTTTCTCCCCACTATACCCTCATTATATTCCCATGATATTCCCAGTCCCGCCATATCCCATTCTATCCCCAATAGACGTTTATTATTGGGTATACCCCTATTTGGGATGATGTAAAATGACGCCCAAATGGTTGGTTAGTGGGATGGTTCATTATTGGCTTTACAACAGTAGGGATTATGCAACTATATGGGGATAGTTCAAAACCTAATATTACCATATTTGAGGGAATAACCACCCATTGACCAGCTATGACTTAGGGTACCTAAAGAAAACCTGGCTTTTGACCCACAATGTGGAGGTTTCCTAAAATGGTGGTACCCCCAAATCATCCATGTTATTTTTGGAGTTTCCATTATAAACCAGAAAATTTTGGGGTACCCCTATTTATGGACACCTCCCATATAGGTCTTGACCCATCCCCATATCTACCACAAGTTCAACCAACCATATGCGTTTTATTACATACCCTCTGGTAAACTAACATAACTATGGAAAATCACCATTTTGAATGGGAAAACTCACTATAAATGGCAATTTTCAATAGCTATGTTGACATAACCAGAGGGTACCCCAATACTTTTGTTCCTTGGCGTAGCCATTTGCCCAGGAACAGCGTGGCGACGCCCGGGAGTTTGCTCAGCAATACCGAAGCACGGCAAAAAAAACAGCAAGGCATTACCTTAAGTCTTGATGTAGATGTGTACATATGAATATATCTATATTATTCTATATCTGTATATGTATGTTCCGGCTCTATCTTTTTACATATATATATACATGATTACAACGTGCAGATGAGTCTAGATATATATATATGTGCATACGTATATATCTGTAACCATGTTCACCAGGAAAGATAATATTGATCCCAAGAGGAAGCATCAATGGTGGTTTCATGGTTTTCTTACTGCGAACATTCTCCACAATACCATGTTTGTTTTGTTTTGTTGTTTGTTTGCTTGCTTTTAATCAGCATATATGTTAACCACCGGCTGCAAGTCGACTAAACGCCGCACCTCAGTCTCTGAGGATACGGCCCATGGCGTTTCCGCCCCAACGACGAGCCAGAGAGTGCAGGAGTATTCCAACGAAGAGGCCACCGGTGCCAGATGTGCCCATGGCGTTCCCAGCTGGAACTTACTGGCATAAAATATGAAGAACTCCCTGGCATCAGTGTGCTTTCTTAATGTCAGTTGTCCAAGAAAGAATAAAAAAACGTGGTGTGCTTCAAATTTGGCGGAGTTCGACATGGTTGCTAAATGTAGCCTGATTTTTGTCGCAGATGTTTTGGCAAATGGGCTTAAACATCCTTAAAACTCTCTCAGATACATTCTCAAATCATCTTGATCATATTCTTGGATTGTCATAGGTCTATTCTTAAGTCAATCCAAATATGCTTGAATAATTCGTTATCTTCCCAGTACATGGATATCCCCATGGTAAGGCATAAAAAAATATGTTTCGACCGGACCTTTGGGAGGCCTTGATGCAGTCCTTTGATGGCTCAGCTTTAGAAAAGGTGCCGGGCAGGACGCCGCTTGAATAAACCCCAAATCATCCCCGAAAAAAACCATCCATAAAAACTTGGGCTAGCCCATAAATTGGAAACCCCCATATCGTGATTCTTATTGCTATGCGATGACAATACCGTACTGTGATGGGTACATCCTTGGTATCAAAAGATTATTTTAAAAAAGATATGAACTGTGGATGTGATGAGGGGTATAAGGAGGATATGTGCTGAATTACATGGTTTTTTTTGAACGTTTGACGTGTCTCAACATTTGACGGGTCTCGAATTGTTGGGGATGAATCCCATAGTGATCATGCCATAAACCATCCGTAATGATCGACAGTAAAATAGGCATAGATCATCCCAAAATAGGCATAGGTATCCTCAAGAATAAATCCCACAGTGTGGATTGTTTGTCATTGTCTATTGTTGTGCATCCCTCGCTAGTCTAGGGAATGATCCCAAAAATTGGGAATGAATCCTGTGTAGGAATTACGACAAATTGCCAATAAAAAAAAGCATAAACACTAAGAAAACAACATTTTTCCAGTGTAGTCAGGTATCATTTTTTTCATCATGCCATTGAAAGAGGAAGTGTTCTCTTTTCTAGAGGAAGTGTTGGCGCACGGGGTCGGCCTTTGAAGGAGCATTGAGACCTCCGAGGTTTATAGTTTGTCTCCCATCAGCATAGGCGCGGGTCCGACGTGTTGCCGTGATGAACGGTTTAAGTGGGACATGGATATGTTTGCCATGGAAATTCTATGGCAACCCAGAAAAAGAGAGATAGAACATGTGTTTCCAGGATGGTATAGATGAAAGGCAGCATATTGTAGGGATATTTAATGTTAAGATAAACACAAATGTCCTCGTCAACGAATCCATTGATATGTCCAAGTTCCAAACATCTTCATCTGGGATGAATTCCGAGTGATGTTCACAAGCCCTACTGTACTTTGGGCTCAGATGGCTATCCATTCTTAGGCCATGTTAGGCCTATTGACTATTTGACCATCTCTAACAGGCAAGCATTCCCAGCTCTGGTGCGAGAAAAAAGCACGGCATGCGCCTTGAATCTTCGTTTGGGCTCCCAACAAATCTCATTAGAGTCCCAGTCTTGTGAGTGATATCACACTTTCCCCTGCTTAAACTACCAGTTTTCCTGGTTACCATTTGGTTATTTAACATAGCGAACTGGAAATTCCAGAAAATAAATGGAGGTTTCTAGCAAAATCATCTGTTTCTATGGGCCATGGCTTCCACGGCTATGTAACAAATAACCAGTGCATCGCAGGTGGTCGATCCAAACCCAACGAATATCTGCCATCGTCGGGATGCCAAATTTCTGGATATGCTGCCCTGGTGATCTCAAAATGGGAGCTTTATGGCATCATTCACCAGCATTACCCTCTGGTTATGTCAAAATAGCTATTGAAAATGGCCATAGAAAAATAGTGGATTTACCCATTAAAAATTGTGATTTTCCATAGTTATGTTAGTTTACCAGAGGGTAACCATATGATGTTTACCACACTAGTGATTCTGATCTCAAAGCAATGAGTCAATGAGATTATTCTAGTATCAATGGCAATCAAGGATTTTTTCGACAGACAGACATCAATCTTGAACCGGGACAGGTGTGGAAATCATGTATCCTGTTTCCGATATGCTTCAATCATGTTTTCCTGCAATCTTCACATGTCTGTTTTTGCATCTGATTCCAGCCCACAGCACTGCAGTTCTAGCATGTGTGTGTGTGTGGGTATCAAAATCATTGGAAAAATCTGAGGGATCTGTGCGCACCGCTTAGGGATCGCTCGAAGCCAACTCAAGATGAGAAATGGGAGCAACCCAGCAAGGCGAGTGGTCGTGGTGGTTGTGGTTTACCGGATGTTTCCTGTGGCGTAGATTGACCTACAGATATCCATGCGGTTAGAGAGTTAGAGAGAGTTAGAGATATATGTTGACTGCGTTGGCAAATTGATACACGTAGACCATTGTTTATTCTCTGGAGTGTAGGGCAGTTCGTATTTTTGGAGCAGCTGAAGACATAGTAGAAACTGACGAAAGTGTCACCTTTTTCCTATCCGAGTCTAAATTCTACTGATGAGTGCGCTGTGAATAGTTTTCCGAAATGTTTTGGGTTAGATGCTTATTGGGGCAGAATATTATATTTCCAATATCTTAGCTGGCGCTACTGTATATGTGTTTTGTTTGTAAGTAAGGGAGAGTGCATTTCTAGATAACATTGTTCTTTGTGCATTGAAACCGCAGAGAGTTAACACACATAAATTACCCTCTGGTTATGTCAAACTAGCTATTGAAAATGACCATTTATAGTTGATTTACCCATTAAAAATGGTGATTTTCCATAGTTATGTTAGTTTACCAGAGGGTATCATAAATTCAGCAAAAAGGATCACAACGAAATCGGGCAAGTTTTACCGTGATGAGCCATCGTGACACCAGAAAGTGTTTGATATTGTCCCAAACTGCCGCTGGAAAGGGTGAATGCCTTCTTGGAGGAGTCAAGCACTCGCCAGCTTGTATGTTTGGATGCAAGTTGCATGTTTTATGGTTGTTTACCGAAGTGGTCATCATCATTGCAGATTGTTGGTTCTATGTGCTCACATACATATACATACACATCCATACATATATATATACAAATATGATACGTATTCATACATGTTTCTGTGCATGTTTTGCGAGTCCCACGCCAAGAACGTAACATGACATCCACCACGTGTGGCAGGTGGATATCGATGTAGCGATCTTCATCACTCCGGTGCATCAGAAGGCGGTGGATGGGTGACCCGGGGATAGCGAAGGCCAAGATTCTGTACAGTTAATAGTGGCTCACTAGTGGTTATTAGTGGTTACTAGTGGTTACTAGTGGTTATTAGTGGTTACTAGTGGTTAACAGTGGTTATTAGTGGTTACTAGTGGTTACTAGTGGTTACTAGTGGTTATTAGTGGTCAATAGTGGTTACTAGTGGATACTAGTGGTTATTAGTGGTTAACAGTGGTTATTAGTGGTTACTAGTGGTTAATAGTGGTTACTAGTGGTTAATAGTGGTTATTAGTGGTTACTAGTGGTTATTAGTAGTGGTTACTAGTGATTATTAGTGGTTACTAGTGGTTATTAGTGGTCAATAGTGGTTACTAGTGGATACTAGTGGTTATTAGTGGTTAATAGTCGTTATTAGTGGTTACTAGTGGTTAATAGTGGTTACTAGTGGTTAACAGTGGATATTAGTGGTTAACAGTGGTTAATAGTGGTTACTAGTAGTTACTAGTGGTTATCAGTGGTTACTAGTGGTTAATAGTGGTTACTAGTGGTTACTAGTGGTTATTAGTAGTGGTTACTAGTGATTATTAGTGGTTACTAGTGGTTATTAGTGGTCAATAGTGGTTACTAGTGCATACTAGTGGTTATTAGTGGTTAATAGTCATTATTAGTGGTTACTAGTGGTTAATAGTGGTTACTAGTGGTTAACAGTTGTTATTAGTGGTTAACAGTGGTTACTAGTGGTTACTAGTGGTTAACAGTTGTTATTAGCGGTTACTGGTGGTTAATAGTGGTTACTAGTGGTTATTAGTGGTTATTAGTGGTTACTAGTGGTTAATAGTGGTTACTAGTGGTTACTAGTGGTTACTAGTGGCTATTAGTGGTCAATAGTGGTTACTAGTGGATACTAGTGGTTATTAGTGGTTAATAGTGGTTATTAGTGGTTACTAGTGGTTAATAGTGGTTACTAGTGGTTATTCATCGGTGCTAGTGGTTAATAGTGGTTACCATTGGTTATTAGTGGTTACTAGTGGTTAATAGTGGTTGCTAGTGGTTAATAGTGGTTAATAGTGGTTACCAGTGGTTAATAGTGGTTACTAGTGGTTAATAAACCAAATAATAATTGGATATGACATAATGTGGGTAAAACAATGTCATAAACCAGCCAGATGGGAATGGTAAAACTACCACCTGTAAAAATGGTGATTTGGGGGATGGTTTATTGTTGTTTTACCCACACTACAGAAAGAATGTATCTATAGATAGAGAGAGAGAGAGGTGGAGTGATTTTATTTGATTGACATATAAATTGATATACAAAAAAACGTTTGATATTTCTTACATATTAGATATCATGCAATGTGTTTATGTTATCTCTGTACAAATGCTCATGTAGGAAATGCTGACTCAAAAGATCTTCAAAGTTTAATCCCCCCCACCTTGGCTGATGGTTTTTGTGGGAGTCGTACTCCATCCGAAGTGATTCCAAAATACAACCGAAGCTAAAATGTTGAATATGTTTAATATGTGTGAATTTGGATGAGATGTGTTACCAGTTTGTGGATTGCCATTAGCTGAATTGCTGTCTTATTCCGATCTTGAAGTGATGCCAGGTGGAGAAATATACCCTCTGCCCACAGTATGCTATGCACGAGGCTGGCTGCATGTCCCAAGATCAGCGTGTGCCCAGTTGACACCCAGATGATGTTTATACATGTACAAAGTACAAACTAGCACAAACATATATTCATCCTAAAAGTGGGAAACATGGGTTATACTAACCTCTACTAACATGTACGAACTAGTTGAATGGGGGTAGTGGACTAATCTCGTAGGTGAACCACCCCAACTGGTTTTTGATGCTTCTTTTGCAGCAGGGAGCAGCCACCGGCAAGTTCTGACGTGCTTTTTGGTGGCTGAGTCTGCCAAGCCAAGGGTTCCATCCCTCTCCAGATTGATTAGCTTCCAAGTCCTTGGTCAGCCAAATAGCCTGTGGCAATCCAACAGTTTGAGATTATAGTTGGACGATAAAAATCAAATTGTGACGTTCAGTATCTAAGTTAAAGGAAATTTGATGATTTTTGGATTTGAAATGGTCCCATATAGTTGGATTATTTACTTTTTAACAAGTGATGTCATCGATTTTTTACCTACTATTTTAATGGTGATTCTCCAGTTCGCAAACTAATAGATACTAATAGATACCAATAGTTACTAATAGATACTAATTATATTCCATTAGGTTTACCATTATATTCCATTGTAAATAATAGATACAAATAGATACTAGTTGTAGATAAGGGGACGAATGGGTTTTGAATTATATGTATCCCATATGACATTCAGTGTTATCCCATTAAAATGCCCTATTTATTGACATGATATTCCCATTTATCCCCGATTCTGGTGGGTTTTAAACTAATTGGAGATTGGTGATTCTGAAAATGAGGGATCCCCAAGTCACCATGGGTTTCAATACGAAACTGGTCTAGTGACTTTGATGATTTGGGGTACCCGCGTTTTGGATGAACTTCCAAATGGTTCCATTACCATTATTAACCACTACTACCAATATTAACCATGATCAACCATTAACCATTGTTAACCCTTTCTAACCAATATCAACAACCATTGTTAACAATTATTAGCCGCGATTGACCATTATTAACCATTATTGCCCATGATTCATACATTCCCAGCTAGTTGCTCCCTTCAGGACCCAGTGACAGCCATGTGGCAAAGCGATGGCAATGCGGCCGGCTACGGTGGCAACTTCTTAGCCAACTCGCCGGTGCCGCGTGGGGGTCATCCATGACGACTGGGTGATAACCGGGGGGTATGGATTGGAAACCTCCATGGATTGATCGTAAGTGTTTCTTTTGGGGGGGTTATTTGCTAGACTGTCGGTATAACCGGTATAACCTCCACCACCATTCATGGGTTTCAATGGATTTCAGGTTCAGGTAGAGCACCAAACCCCACCAGGAGATGATTGCCTTCAAAAAGTGGCGCGTTCCTCAAGCCCCTTGGTTCAGAGTACAATAATAGCATGGCTTGCACCCCAAAAAGATTCATAACTTGGTGAACACAATTAAACTCATGTTTGGTTTCACCATGTTTCACCATGTTTCACATCTTTTTCTTAGCTTTTTCTTGGGAAAGAAGTGGCATCTTGATGGTTGGGATTGGGGGAAGCAAGCCAAAATCACGGAACTGTTCTGCAAATCTTGTCAGAAATATGCAACCCCCCAAAAAAAAATGTTGATATCTTCCATAAGTGGGATATGTTTATGGAATATATCAGCATTGTCCACGAATGGTAAACAAACTATTAATATCTTTAATATTCCATACTATTCTCATCCATGAAACCAGGAACACCTGTAGAGGCGTCACAACTGGCTAGGCTCGGCTAGGCTCCTGGAGGTCAAAGTTGACCCTGTTTCCACAAATATGGGGTCCATTGGATCGTGTTTACCATCCCCCCTAAAAACGCTTCCCAGTGAAATCAGTGAAATGTCTTGGATCTAATTCGGGGACCATATTCGAGGTATGAAAAATATTAGGATGAACTATATCTATATATGATATTCGCTACTGTGGATGGTTGCGAAATCCTGCACCAGTTGAGAGGTGGTAAAACATCCCATTATTTATAGGCTTTCAATCATCCCAAATTGGTGGTGCAGGATTGCGCAACCATCCACAGTAGTACATATATCTGGCTAAATTATAACGACCTCACTGTGACCTCGCCCTGGAATCATAGGGAAATCATCCCCTTTTATGGCCTTAAGATTCAGGTCAGTGAAATCTTATAATTTACCCAGAATTATACAGCTGGGATATCAAGGAAATATACCAATGATATACCAATATAGCTTAAGTATCCCCATAGAATTACCCAGATATATGATATTCATCTATTAGGATGGGATGAAACTTCTTTTCCACCATCCCCTTTTAGGGGGCTTTTGCGACGACGAAAGAAACGAGGATCGGCGCATCACAGTGACGGACTGTGACACCTACGACTACTTTGAGGAGCTGATGAAGGTGCGATTGATCTGCGATGGAAGCGGGTAAAAAACTATCCCATATGAATGATCAGAATCCTTTAATGTGGGTAAAACAATGTCATAAACCAGCCATTTGGGAATGGTAAAACTACGGGCAAACCCCTCAGTTTGCCCGCGCCGACGCCGATGACATGTCCGAACATCAAAAAACACTGTGTTTTGTGGGGCAAAATGCACATGTCCATGATCATGGCTTTCATCTTGCAACGCACAGCTTAGCTACCTGTGCGTTGAATGTTACAACAAGAACAACAACAACAACAACATCATCACCATCACCATCACCATCATCATCATCAAACCCTTATTGAAGATCTTCAATGACTGTAGAAGTTTAACAGGGGTGGGGAATTAAACACTTATGTAAGATCTTCAATGACTGTAGAAGTTTAACGGGGGTGGGAGAATTAAACCCTTATTGAAGATCTTCAATGAATGTAGAAGTTTAACGGGGGTGGGAGAATTAAACCCTTATTGAAGATCTTCAATGAATGTAGAAGTTTAACGGGGGTGGGAGAATTAAACCCTTATTGAAGATCTTCAATGAATGTAGAAGTTTAACAGGAGTGGGAGAATTAAAACCCTTATTGAAGATCTTCAATGGATGTAGAAGTTTAACGGGGGTGGGAGAATTAAACCCATATTGAAGATCTTCAATGAATGTAAAGTTTAACGGTTGTTGGACTTTAATATTCCCTAATACTTCTGCTGATCTTCCCAATTGAATGTAAAGTTTTAACGGGGGTGGGAATTTATATTCCTAATACCCTTGTTGATCTTCCCAATTGAATGTAAAGTTTAACGGGGATCGGAATTTATATATATTCCTTCAAAATCCCTAAGAAGTTGTGTGGGCGAATTGGGGGGTTTGCACGCAAAACTACCACCTACTTATGGTGAAATTGGGGATGGTTTATTGTTGTTTTACCAACGTTATCCAATATATTTTGTTGGAATTCATTATGGAAAATTATGTTTAACCAACCAGGATTCAATGGAATGACATTTTCGATTTTGAAGACTGCTCATTTGTGGATCTAGGATGATCCAGAGGTCTGACGACACCGCAACTGGGGTTCCGAAATCTCCAGAACAGTGCATCTTTGAAGTGTGAAGTCGTGTTGACACAGGGCTCTTCAAATTTTGGTTGAGAAGTGCTCATAATATCTTCTGGAAGGCCTGGTAAATGTCCGTTCTTCTGAGGTAGTGTCAATGTAGTTTCAATCATCACCTGATGTTTGAACTGAATCCCTTAATGGTTGGTGTTTCAGAGTTGTGGACTCCAACAATGATGTCCTGAAAAGGGGGAAAAAAACAATTTGCAGCTGGCTACATTTGGGTGTGTCTGAAACTGGTGTGTTTCTCCAAAACTGCAAATTTTTATAAGGAAAAGGATCATCAACCATCGAATTTGGAACTGTTCCCAACATGTTTAATCGCATCCCCTTGGTATTAAAACGCCATAAACGATGGCTAGAAAGGTCGGGGAACACATGAACATCACTCCGCTCCAGGACAAAGCGGCGCGCTCGGGACAAGAGTTCTTTGCTCCGGACAACATTTACACCTCTGAGAACTTGCCTGGGGGCTCAGCCAAAGCACAGAAATGGTAGGATTTAGTGATGCGATTTGGGTATGCGATGAATCTAGGGACATAATATATATATATATACACTGATTGGTGGTTTGGAACATGAATTGTATGACTTTCCATATATTGGGATTAATAAGCCCAACTGACTTTCATATTTTTCAGAGGGGTTGAAACCACCAACGAGTACATGATATATACACAATATGATAGAATGGGATAGATCATCAGAATGACGACGTCACCGAACTTGCACGCAGTTTGTTTCAAAGAAAGGCCCGTTCGTGAAACTGGAACGATGAGCAAGATATGTTTGGGATCGGGTTAAAACACTGATCAGAAAAGGTTCCACTGTCTGATCACAGTTGGCTTTCATGGGATTTCAGGAAAAGGATGTGATGTCGGTAAAGCACAGAATTCTCATGGCACCCATCGCGAGTTTGGTCCCATTGACATGGTTGTTTTTCTGAAAATGTCATCCAATCTCAGGGGGGTGGAGTAAATCGACGTCACAACTGGGACCTGGAACCGCCAGGATCAATCCAGACTTCTGCATTCCTGACGAAGTCTGGGTCAACACTTCTTGTGAGGCCTGTGCTGTGCCAAACTGTTTGGAGCCAGGAAAAAAGGATGTTTTTTCATCCGGGAATGCGGGTTCGTCCCAAAAAATGGAGGAATTTACCCCATTGATCTCCGAAGTCTTGCCAGTTTCAATTCGGTGAGGCTTTTAACCATAGGATGTTCACGAGTTCTGAAATTGTCAGCCGTATTCAGGATGCATACCAATGTGTCAACATGGAGCTGTTAGATGTTATGCTGGTAGCTCAAGGGAAAACCACAAGGACATGTAGACAGGGCGCCCGCGCTTGCTCTTCGGAGCACAGGAGATGACCACGCTCCAAGCCTCGTACCGTGACCAATATCGCGTGGCATGCAATCGGGACCGGAGCAGCGCTGGATATCGTGGGAACCAAGAACAAGTAGACAAGACTTTGATCAGGTTTGATATTGTGATATCATTGATATAGAGTATATACAATATATTTACATACATCTACATATAATAGATATATATATATCATGTATGTGTATATATTAATTATATATATACATGTATACAAGGTGTACACTCTTGCCACTCCTGGCATTTGTCACAAAATGGGATGCTCTGAAAGCCACCATGTGAGATGCCGGGTTTCATCATGTTCCCAATACTCAAATGGAGATTAAACACATGTAAATAAGGCAGTTTCTGACCCAGATACCAAGGTTTTCTGAAATAAAGTTTGCTGAAAAAAGTTTATACATCCCATTTTGTGGCATATCATGAGCAGATCCTCCTCCATTGGGGACCGGGGAATACCGGGGATCCCTTGCACAAGGAGCTCTTCGCGAGCAGCGAGATGCGCTACACCATCAACATGCCGTTGAATGACAAGTGGATCCAGGCGATGTCGGATGGTTAGGGATGGTTAGGCATCGACCTGAAAGGATCGTATGATACCCTCTGGTAATGACTAACATAGATATTGAAAATGGACCATAGAAATAGTTGATTTACCTATTGAAGATGGTGATTTTCCATAGCTATGTTAGTTTACCAGAGGGTAATTTACCCAGAGCGTTACAAGTTTGGTGGAATGATAAACAGAAGGGATTTCGGAGTAGCCTAGTTTTTGGACAGGAAAAATGAACAGGAAGTAAAGGTTTTGTTTTGATGTTTAGACATTTGTTTGGTTGTTTCTTCATGTGAAATCAGGATCTGACATGTATGATGGGACGCTGCTGATACTAGCAGCTAGCAAAGCATTTTTCATGATAGAAGATGACTAAATTCAGGAGGCGTCCAAGCTGGTTGCAGAGTGAAAATGTGTGGAAAAAGTCCTGCAAGCTTTGATGTACAACACATTCTATAATTGTCATTGCTATTAGCGGTTATTGCTATTATTAATGTTTTGATTATTATCATTGCTATCATTCCTTATTATTTGTATTATTACTATTACTATTATTACTACTATTATTCTTGTTACTATTGTTATATCTTATATTCCCATTGTATTATTGCTATCATTGCCATTATTTTTGTCATTATCTTACCCCCAGTGTATCCCATGATTATCCCCAATGTGTGAAATGTGGGACTCAATTTCAACACCAGAGATTGATCGATTTGCGACCAGCCAGAACTTGGATAGCGATTGAAAAAGGTGGCGAAGCCGTCAAGAATTTTGGTGATTCTCTCATTAATGAGGTGTGTGTTTGTTCAAAACATATATTAACTTTGTGTTATGGATTATGATTAAACAGTTCTATGATTGTGGTATGATGAAATTCGCAACGACTAGTTCATCATGGTCTAATAACTCTTTCAATATCATATCTACAATTATCTACAATCATACTTAAATATCATATCAAGTTCATAATATTAATTCGATATCGTATCAACATATATATATATATATCAGATATGCTGCTGCTATTCCACTGGAATTTTCCCAAAAAACAACCATCGCCAGGCCGAGAGTCGGCGCCCGGGCTCCGTGTACAAACCCGAGTGGATCGTGGATACCATGCAGAGTGTGGCTGCCGAGCGAAACGCCGTGGATCACCGTTGAAGCTGATGGAAACGGTGCAAAATCATGTGGATGTGTTTTTTCTATACATATCTATATAGATACCCTCCGGTTATGACTAACATAGCCATGGTATAGAT